TGGAGGCGTCCTGCGGGGAGAGGGAGCGCAGGGACATCGGTGGCATGGCAGGGAAATAGAAGCCCCCCCTGCTCTGCGCCCCACCAGCACACGCCAGGATAAGGGGGCTCAGCTCTTCGCCCTCGCTACCAGCCCCCGTGGGACCGGGACGCAGCACAGGGGCTGTGCCGGGGTGATGGAGGCACCCTCAGCCTGGCTGCTTGCAGAGCGTTGAAGGGGCTCATTAAGCGAGACATAATTAGCACACTTGGCCTCCTTCCCTCATCACAGGGGCTCTGCATGGAGGTGGTGCTGAGGGAGGGAGGAAGGGCTACTGGCGGGGCAGCAGGGACACCCCAGGAGCCAGCACCCCCACAAATCCCCTGGCAGGGTGGCATCTCTCCTGGAAACCCATCGCAACCTCTCCTGTGCAGGTTGGGGGCTGTTTAAGCCCGACTCGGAAGCTGTCACCAAATGCCACCTGCAGTGACACCCCCTGAGCTGATGTGACACTAGAAGCATCCCGCAGCACGGCCACGTGGGTGACCCATGTCAGGTACACCGCTCAGGCACCGGTGGCCCAGGATGAAACCACTGCAAGCCCCCTGGAAGAGAAGCACGTTCCACTCTGCTGCTCCCAGGATAGACCCCCGGGGCTGGGGAAAGCCCCCGTGCCACAGGGCAACCATCCTCCCCGGGCTCCCTAACCTCCCTGGGACAGGAAAACATGGGGGAACGTAGGTCCGAGCACCAAAGCGGGGTTTTGCAGATGGGTGCCGTCTTGGCAAAAGCTTCAGGTGGGCTGTCCAGTGGATCTCATCCCGTCCCCGGGACCTCAAACTTCCCTGAACCTCATTTAAGCTCCTCACACACTTGCTCTTGCAACATTCCCAGCTGAGAAGAGAGAAATTCCATGCCTCTTTACGCATTCAAGTGCTGCCACTACAAATGAGAATAGAATCATAGGTTTACGTTGGAAGGGACCTTGAAGATCATGAAGTTCCAACCCCCCTGCCATAGGCAGGGACACCTCCCACCAGTCCAGGTTGCCCAGGGCCACGTCCAGCCTGGCCTTGAACACCTCCAGGGATGGGGCCTCAACAACCTCTCTGGGCAACCTGTTAGAAGCAGAAAAACAACCCCAGGAGGCAAAGGGAGGTTGGGAACATGAGCAAGGAAGAGCAGGGAGGGAGAGTCCCTGGTTTGGGAGACCCAAGCTCAAACGTAGAGTTCCAGCACACACTTCGAAAGGCTTTTATGGTCTCTCTGGGATGTCACCAGGAACCAGCCCCTGCTCCCGGGAATTAACTCGGGGCTGGCTCAGAAGAGGGCTAAGGATGAGTCTAGGAGGAGACGGGGAGGGCAGGGTTGGGGGCTGGCATCCCTTGAGTGCACCCACTGGGCTGGATTGCTTCATGGCAGCCGAGGCATTTCCCACCGCCTGTGTGGGTAACGCCACTGGGAATCCACTGATCCGGGTGGGTTTGAGGCTGTGGCTGTGCTGGAGCAACAGCTCCCATGCTCCACTCCCCTCTGGAGCTCTTCCCTCTGCTTTGCCGTGGCCGGGGGGCTCTGGTGGGCATGGCACCCTTCGGCCACCTATTACTAGCCCTGTGCTGTGCCCCTCTCTCCAGCTAAAATGCGCGTGTGCTACACCCTGGGCTGCCATCCGGACCTATCCCTGTCCCCCAGACCCATCCCTGCTCCACTCAGTACTCACCACCCCGATGGAGAAGTAGTTGTTGATGATGGTGGATGGGACAGGGTCTCCATTGGCCTCTCTGTCACTGGGAATGACGTCTATCTGCCAGCGGTCCAGCATCACCTCTGTGCTGTGCTCGATGTCCTTCAGGACCTTCATCAGGTTGCCTCCTTCATAGCCTGTAAGGAAAACAAGGTGGGTGTCTGGGGAGGATGAAGGAGAACGAAGGGCCATGTCACATGGAGCCAGAGGCAGTTGGGTGCCGAGTTTCCAGGGCAGCTGCTATGGCACCAGCGAAATGCCCGGCTCATCCTTGCAGCGGCGGCAGATTTCACCTAAAGACACGGCTCTCCCAGATGAAACGAGATGCAGCCCTGAAAGGTGGGAGGGGTCCCCGGGACAGCACCCACCCAGCCGCACCGGGTGGTCCTCATGGGCCAGCCGCCCCTTGGGCGATGCTCGCCTGGGCTCACCTCCTCCCCAGCGCAGGCACCGGGCCAGGTCATTGCCCGTTCCCAGGGGCAGGACAGCCACCGGCGGGTGCTTCACCAAGTTCGCCTTGTCTGCAATTCAAAAGAAAGAGAGGTTTGGGGCTGAAAGGGCTCATTCCCTTCTCCTCTCCATGTCCCTCTTCGGCTGGCACCCCAGGTGGGGGGAGCCTGGGGGCGATGCTGTTGGTCCTGCTCTCGCCAGGGGAATATTGGGAACCCGGGGCTGATTGCCAAGGACACGGGCGGATGATGCTCTGCTGGAGTCACTCCTCGCTCACCTATGCAGTCCAGGATCCAGCCCACCGTGCCGTCCCCTCCGCAGGCCAGGACGCGGAAATCCGGAGTGTCCCGAAAAAAGCTCAACCTGGAGAAAGCCAGGAGAGACAAGGGGTGATGTGGGGGAGCAGGGACTGGCGGGGGGGGGCAGAGGATTAGCATCTCCGTACCCTGGCGCGGGCCCGCCGCGGTCCAGGTTGTACACTTGGCGTGGATTGAGCAGGTAGTGAAATTTCCGGAGGACCCTGGGGAAAGAAAGGAGTGATGGATGCCGCAGGGGCGAGTCCTGCTCTGGGAGTGATGCTGGGGCAGCCGGAGGGACCGGCAGCTCCTGATACTGGGGGGATGCTCTCCCCAGGCAGGACCCCACCTACCGCTCCCCTTGCCTTCCTCCGCTCTTGGGGTTCACAAGCACCAGGAGGGGGTGTGTCCCAGGCCGGGGGCTGATCTGGAGGGCAGAAAGGGCGGCTGCGAACATCTGGCCGCCATGGGGCTCGGCACGTACCCAGGACATAGCTTCCCAGCAGCCCAACGCGGCATCCTACCTGCAGACCTTGCCCTTCTACCGTGGTGGAGTTGAACTTGAAGCCCTGGCTGTCCTCGGGGCTGGTGCTGGCAGGGGAGTCGCTCTCCGATCTCCGGCAGTGGGACTGCCTGTCCTTTGGGGAACAGAGGTGCGGATGCGCGCGCCGCCCCGAGAAGGCAGTGCCGAGGGAGGCAGGTCAGCCATGGCCATGCCCTGCCGGCTCCCTGCTGCCCGCCCAGCGGCAAGGAGGGGGCACCTACCAGGACGACAGGGCAGATGTAGGAGGGCAGCAAGATGTGGTCCCGCAGCGGGCCCCCGTCGCACTCCGGCTTCACGTGGGAGGCACATTTGTTATGGAGCTGGAGGGGAATGGGAGGAAAGGACGTCGGGCAGGGGACACCGGGTCGGTGCTGGGTGCAGCCCAGGCTCCCAGCATCCACATACTCACAGTGACTTGGCACCAGACGCAGTGCAGGCCGGTGATGCCCTGGTAGCACTTGATGCTCTTATGGCATCTGTCGCACTTGACGGGGGAATTGCCCTCGATCCAGGTGTGCTGCATCACCTGCAAGGCACGGGGGGGAGGAGGGCACTGTGGGCGCAGCACTCACCGACCCACCGGCATCTCCTCTCCGCTAAGGGCTGCTGCCGTGATTTTCACCATGCAGGGATGCTGGCTGACCCAAATCAGCCCCTCACAGGGCCACCTTCCCTCCCTGCTGCTCCACACAGCACATCGGGGCCACCCATTCCCCACCCAGAGCTGCGGCAAACCTCGGGGCCAGGGGTCCTGCGGGTCTCCCGGGGGATGGAGCCCACCCTGCCAGGCTCTGGATGCTGGGAATGCCCACGAGCTGCTACCCAGGGGAAAATCCAGGGCAAAAAGCCATGGGGGACCAGGGCAGGAGACTGAGGGGCCAGCGCAGTGCTGCCTCCAGGGAGGCTCTACAGGAGACCCACCAGCTCAGAAACGTGCCAGCCGCCTACTCACGCTCGTGTTTCTCTTGGATTTCACGTAGGTGCTTATGCAGGAGGCGATGTCTTTGGACACGCACCTCTCGTGGACGGTGTACTTGCAGACTGGCGGGAGAGAAGAAGGTGGTGAGCATTACCCCTTGGCACGGTCGCTGCCCCCTCCCTGCTCACCCCAGGCACCCGCAGGGCTCGACCAGTCCTCGCTCCCTGGGGCACAGGGATGGGGTGGGAGCCAACGGCTTGGGGGTGTGACGGTCTGGCAAGGGTCCACGACTCACAGGAGCAGCAGAGGCCCTGCTTGCGGACCCCCAGCAGCATGGTGCGGCAGAAGTTGCAGTAGGCAGGTTTCTTGAAGTGCTTCAGCCTCCAGGCGTGCTGCCCATCATCCTTCACATTCTGCAGGGCAGGAGAGCGGAAGGCCAGGGGGGTCACTCCTCTGCCGGGGGTCCTAACCCACCACTGTTATCAGCTTTTCATCCCATAAAAGCCCCCAGTGTGGCTGTGGGAGTTCGCTCCCAGCAGGACCACTGGCTGCCCCTGCTCCCCGCTGTTTCCCCGAGCATCCCTGCTGCCGCATCCTCCCATTCCCTGGGCACATCCAGCTCCAGGCACCGAGCTCCGGCTCCCCATGGCCCCTTGGCACAGCCCGGCTTGCAGGGATGCTCTGCCAGTGGCCAACGGGAAGGAGGTGACTCCGTATCTGGGGTCAGGTCACTGCCATCATGGGGTGACCAAAGCAAACTGCTTGCATCTGGGTCTGGGCACGAGCCACTTAAAATTGCCCATTTTCTTGAATCTTCCTGCCAGAAAACCTGTTCCCACCCCCCGCCCCGGCCCCCCGCCACCTTTCCGTGGGAAGCAAACACCCAGCTGAGCAAATCACCAGGGGAGCAAAACCCCAGATTTTCCCTGCAAGCTGTCATCTGATGACCAGGAACGCACCTCGATGAAAGGCAGCCCAAAAGGATGAAAAAAACCCCACAGGGAAATAAGGGGGGGCTGTCCCAAACCACCCCACCTCTGCTCCTTGAAGCTCACCCCCGGAGAGGCACTGGGATTTTAGGTGCTCATCTCATTTTTTGATTAACTATTCATCGAACCGGGGCACGCTACGATCCCAAGGAGCGAGCCCAGCCTGCCCGGGCATGGTGGCTGGCAACAACCGCAGCTCAAAATGGAGCTTGTAAAGATTTCGGGAGGGCAAAGGCCGGTCAGCAGAGGCAGGGTTGGACGGGCGTGCGGCGCGTTGCTGGGGGTAGGGTGCCCTCCCGTGGTCCCTGTGCACCCTCCAGCGCCGCCAGCGCCGAGCTTTCCTCCGGGAGCGGGCACAGCGGCTAGATGCGGCCAAAGCAGGTCCCCATGCAGGCACTCACCGTCTCCATCCCCAGGAGGACCAGTAAGGGGATGGTGGTCATGCCACCCCGGATCCACTCCTCCAGCGTCACAGTCCCATCATGGTTGTAGTCGATCTCCTCCATCATCGCCTTCAAGATCTGGAGGAGATGCGGTGAGACAGCGATGCTGCCTGTGAACGCTGGCTGCCAAGACCCCCCGCCGACCCCCCAAGCCCCGGCACTCACAGGCTTCAGCTCGGTGGAGTCCCACTCCAGGTACTCGGCCACGTGCACCATCTGGTTGATGATACGATCCAGCTCCTGAGCACAGAAAGATGATGGCGCCTGGCACTTAGGGACGCTTCGGGCATGAGCGGAGTGTGCAGCCTCAAGCCCCCAAACTGGGGACATATGAGGTCTATGACCCTGATACATCCAAGGTTGTCCCGGACCCCCTCCCGCACAGGGGGCCAGTGACACCCCACTTCTTGGTGGGTGCTGGGTGCTGCTTTCTCCTCTGCCAGAAAACCTGCAGTGGGTTTTCCCTCGGAAAAACTGCTCTGATACAACAGATTTTTTACTTGCAATGAGTTTCAAGTGGGATACCCAAAGGACAAAGAGAAGAACATCCCAGGGAGGGGGAGGGGGGGGATGTTGTGCACGATTTTTTCCTTTGCTGAAACACCGTGACCTGATGTAGAGCTACAATTACTGGTGAGTGGATTTTCTGGAGCTGCTGCCGGACGCTGCAGGGCTGCTGCGCCGCTGCCTTCCTCCTCCTCCCTTCCCACAGCCCTCTTTTAGCTCAGAGTGCCTCGCTGGGGGAGCAGGCACCCCAAAAGGGCCCTGCGTGTCTCCAGCACCCCCAGCGGCCCTGGCTCTCTCTCCCGAGGGAAGGCTCACCGAGCTGTCCAGGAGGCCATTTCCATCAGTATCGTAGAGGCGAAACATAACTGGAGGGAGAAGAGAAGCCGGTGGCCGGTTAGAGCCCAGCACTGGGGCACCCCATGCTCGGTGCGAGGGCTGTGGGATGGGGGTCCACAGTCCCAGGGTCCCACTTACACTCCAGCTTGTCCTCTGCCCTTCCCCTCTCCAGCAGGGACAGGTAGCAGACGATGTCCTTCAGATGGACCACCTGGGCCAGGGGGGCAGGGGACGGCGGGGGGGCGGCTTTCAGGGAGCTGTGGCTCTTCCGCAGGCTGAAGGGTAACCTCTTCTCCATGCTCCGCGTGCCTGCGGGCAGGGAGCAGGGGATGAGGGCCACGCACAGGGGGACAAGGAGCCGTCCCCAGCTGGGATACGGGGCTGGCAGCACGTGCAAAGTCCAGGGCAGGGACCCATTTGGCGTGGGGCGGGCAAGGTGCAGAGGATGTGGGGCTGGGTGCCATGGCAGGAGCAGGGCTGGGCACATGATGGGGACACAGGGATGGGTGCCACGGCAGGAGCAAGGCTGGGCACACAGTGGGGACATAGGGAGAGGTGCCATGGCAGGAGCAGGGCTGGGCACACAATGGGGACACAGGGACAGGTACCACGGCAGGAGCAGGGCTGGGCACATGATGGCCACGGCAGGAGCAGGGCTGGGCAGATGATGGGGACGCAGGGGTGGGTGCCACGGCAGGAGCAGGGCTGGGCACATGATGGGGACACAGGGATGGGTGCCACGGCAGGAGCAGGGCTGGGCACACAATGGGGACACAGGGGCAGGTACCACGGCAGGAGCAGGGCTGGGCACATGATGGGGACACGGGGATGGGTGCCATGGCAGGAGCAGGGATGGGCATTGCCAGTTGGTCCCCGGCACGCAGACCACCGCACCTCCGGCACTGTGGATGCAGGTGGGATGAGTGCTGGGACCCCACGGGGACTTCCCCTGCCGCAGACAAGCACCCAGCCGGAAGGAGCAAGAAGCTCGGCTGGTGGCGGGGCGGCTCGCCGGGGTGCCAGGACAGCCCACGCTGCCGGCGGCAGCCTTTGGCAGATGGCTGCTCCTGGCAGAGGGGCCCTTCCCAACGCTCCGCTCCTCGGTGGCTGGCAGGAGCGGGGCTGGAGGCAGCCGTGACTCACCGCTCCAATCGCCCCTCACCAGGAGATGCTGCCAGGTAATTAAGACATTGCCCGGCTCTGCAGGATGGGACCAGCGGCTTAAGTTTGCAAAGCAAAGGTGTCAAGATGCCAGGAACCCACCAAGTTTGGAAGGTCACCATCACCACACTGAGGACCTGACCAGCTGCACCGCCAAGGCAAAGCGCAGCTCCACGGGTTGGAAAACCAGGGAGGGCTTGTCACTGCCGGTGTCCCCTGTGGAGCCCCAGCCAAGCTCACCTGGCGACTGAGGGCTGAGCAGGGATCCGGAGGAGATCTTCGAAGAGCCCGAGGAGTTGTGAGCAGAAGGAGTGCCAGTGGTGGACTTCTGGGAGGACGACCTGGACCAGCTGGGGGAGGCGTTGGCAATCGACGCTGGGGTGAGGGATGCCGGCTGCGGCTCAGCCGCATTGCTGTGGCAGCTCTTGGGCTCAGGCGTGTGTCGTCCCAGGGCACTTAGGAGCGTTTTCCCATTGATCCCTGCAAAGCCGACAGACACCGGTGGGCAGTGTGACAGCAGGGCGCCCGTGCCCAGCAAAGCCCTTCCTCCAGGAACCCTGCCTGGGTGCTCGTCGCTTGCCCTGGGTCTTCTTTGCTAGCCCCAAAGCAGGCTAGCATTCCAACCCCAGAGCTCTCTGAGTGGCCCTTCACCCTCCTGCCTGGCGCAGTTGTTCCCAGTAGCGCTCCGGTCCCCAGATGCTGGCCACCATGGTGCTTGGGACCAGGCAGGGAGGACGTGGTCCCCCGCCACCGTGCCCCACCATGGCAGCTGAGCACCAGGGGAGGGTTCTCCCTGTTCTTTTGCAGTTTATAGTCCTTTCAGCATATGTCTCCACGTGCTGCGAATCCAGCCGGGCAGGGGCCGGGGATGGCAGAAGCTGGGTGCCTGGCACACATCCCCTGCTCCGGGTGCAGCCGCCTGCTCGGTGGCCACCAGCACCAGTACCTGTGACAGGGGCGCAGGCCACCTGGGTCTGGATGGAGATGCCGGCGTCGAGTGACTTGGGCTCTGAACGCGCGGAGGAAAGGGAGGAGTCAGTGCCATGGTGCCCTGTGGGTCCCCACCCCCCGGGAAAGCCTTCTCCTCCCTGGAGCAGAGCAGGGGTGCGGGAGCCCATCCATCGGATGCTGGGCTGGGTGCTGGCCCCAATGCCACCCACTGCGGGTGCCCCCCAGCAACCTTGGTCCCATGGGGCAGCGTGGGAGCGAGTCCACCGTGCCACGGCGTGCCTGGCTGGGCGGCGGGGACTGGGCTGGCTCACCGAGGGTGGTGAGCTGCGAGACACCGGGGCTCTGGCGCTGGGTCTCGGGGGAGGCTTGGTGTATCTTCCGCTTGAAGGAGGTGAAGAGGTGTTGGCAAAGCTCTTCAGGCACGTCCGCCTCCAGGTAGGTCTTCATGAAGAGGCGAAAGCCCTCGTAGTCGATGGGCTGGGGAGGGGACAGAGAAGGATGGTGGAGGTGACCCGGGCACGCCATGGGGGTGCGGAGCTGCTGGTGGAGGGGGTTCTGTGCCCTGGGCCCCCCTCACCAGGCACATTAACTTCCCAAAACCACTCGGCTTCCCAGATCCCAGCAGTGGGATATAACCTAAAGGGACCCAGAGGCAGCAGGGCCAGAAATCCCTGGTGCCAGCTGGCTGCTGGGGGCTAGTGCAGCTGAGCCAGGCCAGCGGCCATGGGAGCAGGGAGGGGAGCCGCAGCAGACGGGGTAGGAGCTGAGGGAGGGCAGAGCTGGGGCGGGATGGCAGTTACGGGTGGTGGGGCAGCAGCCGCCTCACCTGCCTGGGGGTCTGCAGCTAGCGGACCCCTGCAGATGGCTGCAGGGGCAGGAGGTTCTGCCAGAGCCGGGTGCTCAGCAAATGATTGAGGAATTAAATACAGCCCTTCTGGCACAGCCGAAGGAGGCTGGGGGTGCTGGAGATAGAGGGGTGTAACGAGCTGTGCTCTGAAAGCCTCCCGCTCCCCCCGGGGCAGGGCACTGAGCAGTGGGACCCTCCAGCCTACCCCCACCCCCCCGGGACTATCATCCTCCTGAGGTCTCCTCGCCTCCTCCTTCCCCGCTGGGCATCCCTGTCGCATCAGGACGTTGCCTTCCCAACGGTGTTCGTGGCCCCAGCTGGAGCCAGGGTCCTGTGGTGCCCTTGAATAGCGGGGTCGTTTTGCTGCCCCTTCTCGCCACGTTCAGCCCACCGATTTTTTTTGTGTTTCGCCTCGTTTCTTAGTGATTACATCCCCCATGCAAGGCTCCGTCCTGCTGGTGCACTAATAGGTCTCTCTGAAAGCACCGCTTGGAAAAAATAACCCCAACCTTCCCCAGGCGAGAGCGAGAAGGCACAGGGCCTTCCCCATCCCCATGCTGGCAACACCAAAATCATTTGCTTTTAGGGGAAGAGAGAGTAAATCCCTCCCCGCTTCTGCCTGGCAAGGAGACGCCTCAATCGCTGCAGCCAGCGTGGGATGGCAGCGCAGCCGCGGGGTCCCAGCAGCATCGGTGGGATGGAGTGGGATGGTCCCATGGCAAGCCTGCTCCCTGGGGTGGCCAGGGACCGGGAAAGATACTCGCTGTGTGTGGGAACACCTTTCCCAGTCCTGAGAGCACGGTCATGGGGAGAGACAGGGGGCAGACAGGCAGACCCGCCTCCTCCTGGCTGCGTCTAGCTGGGGAAACTGGGCCGGGGGAGCTGGTGGGGGGCTGGGAGCTGCCAGCAGCATGGGGGGAGGCTGGAGGGGACAGGGCCATACCTGTTCGGGGTTGTACCTCGAGAGGACGCCGTCCCCGTGGAACTCCTCCAGGACATCCTTGAGCTTCTTGGTGGAGTCTGGGGGGACAAGGGCATGGCACTGAGCACAGCGCCAGCAAGCCCCCTTTGCCCTTATGCCACCAGGAGCATGGTGCAGACGGGTTTATCTGCTGGGTATACAATTCCTGGTCCTCTCTAAGGGCCACCCGTGCCCTGCTTCCCCCCCCCCATACTTTGAAGGGCAGGGCATATATGTAAATCTGGCTGGCAGGGATGGGTCCTTTTCCTTCTACCTGTATGTAAATAAATACAGACCCAGAACAAAGCTACAACACTGGGCAAGGACAGCCCGGAGCACTCCCTGGGGGGACACTGAGCACAAAGCCTGCCGCAGCCCCTCCACAAAGGTTTTGGGGGGCTGCCCCCACCCTGAGACACTGCTGGCACCTCCTTGGCAGCCTGAGCCATCCCCGGAGCCTGCCCTGGGCTGCCCATCTGCATCTCCAGGACGTGCCAGGAGGGAGAGGACTGGGAGGCAAAGGGGAGCCCAAGAGCCCCCCTGGGCTGTCCTAGGGTCTGCTCAGCATCACAGCACGAGGTGAACCGGGTCAGGACATAGAACAATATTGCCCCGTGCAAACTTCCACACAAATAGGAAACGGCCCATGAGTTTCCCTGACTGGGCGTCCTCAGGGCTGGAGGGACATCGGTCCTTCCGAAATAGAGAAATAAGGGAAAAATGGAAAAAAAGGATCAAGGGGAGGGAACGTTCAGCCCTAACCTTCAGACACATATCTCCAGGCACATGCATTTAAAGGGCTCTCGGACATGCCAGCCCTGTTAATTACTGTGAAATCCTCTCTCCAAGCAGGGGGCTGCGCCGGCTACTGCTCCCCACAGCTTTCTGCTGGGGATGGAGCTTGGCACTGGACCACGACTCTCCGGGGTGCCTGGGGCAGGTCTGGGGGTCACAGAGCCCAACCAGGGGGCCAGCGTGCACTCGAGGAGGGGGTTCCTGGCCCCAGGGCTGGGGACTCCTCCAGCCCAGTGCCAGGCCACCTTCCTGGGGAGGAGGAGGCTGCCCGCGCTGCAGCCTTGCTCGCCAAATTTTCATTAACGAAACCAAGACGCCGTACGTGCTCTGAGCTCAGCGTTACAGATGGCATTTGGTCTGTGATTCAAGCAAGCAGCGCCCGTTCTCCGGCGAGGCAGGAGGAGACGCAGACAGCAATGCTGCACACACACCTCTGCCTGCCCCTGCCTGGTGTAGACACAGGCAGCCCCGACCTGGTTCACATCGCCCCCATGATGCGCAGCAGCCCTGAGGACAGCCCCGGGGCGGCTCATGGGGTCCCCTTTGCCTCCCAGTCCCCTGAGCAGCCGCAGGAGCCTGCTCACCCCTGGGACCGTGCCGCCTCCCACAAAGCGACACCCCTGAGATTTCACACCCCTTCTCCCTTCATCCCGCAGGTCCCGGCTGGGCTTTCCTGCCTGTCCTGCCCCGCTCGCAGCACCTCCCTGGGCTGCACCGCTTCTCCATCGCCTGCCGCACACCCGCACGCCGGCTCTCTGGCAGGCAGGACCCTGAGGACCTGGTTTCGGCCCCCTGGGTTTTGCTCAGGGTCCCTCCCCAGCCGCTGGCAGCCCCAGGACCCCCCGGCACCACCACCACCAACCTCCTCTCCTCGGCAGGAGCCGCAGGAGAGGGCCGCTCTGCAAAAGTGCTGAGTGAAATTACCGCAGCGGATTGGCAACCCGAGGCGAGCCGTGCAGCAGCTCTGCGTGTTTAGGAAAAGCCAGTCTGCTTTCCTCGTTGGCATTTTGCTTCGTTAACGAACGTGGGAGCCGGCCGCCTTCGGAGGGACCGAGCTGCGCTCACATGTGCGTCCCCCTAAAGCAGGGGGGCTTGTGCGCAGTGAAATCCTTCCAGGCATGCAGGCACGGCCGTGCACCCCCAGCCACTGCGGGGGGTCGGGGACCTTCCCAGCCTCCCCATCCAAACCCCAAAAAGTCATCTAGTTCTCCAGGAGGACACCAATCTGGCACAGATCCACAGGACTTTTTAAAACCCCTCCCCCTGCCCCAGGCAGGGGGGATGCATGGTGGTCCCAGGCAGGGGGGGCACGGGGTACTCACAGTCTGTGTACTGCTGGAGCTGGGCAAACTCAGCGGGGCTGAGCGAGATCCACCCGCCATCGCTCATCGTTGGGCGGTGGGCCCCAAAGAGGGGGCCACGAGCTGCTGCGCTCCCCGTGCCGGGCTCGGTGCCGAAGGTCCCGGCCGGCCGCTTGGTCACATAGGCACCGTGAGGGGCACGGGGGGCGCTTGGCCGGCTGGCACCATCCTGCTGAGCCCGTGGATGGCAAAGCCCAGAGCTTTGGAGCAGCCGGTCAGCACCTTCCTCCCTAGAGAGGGGATGGAAAGAGAGGAGGGGGTGAGCGGGGGGCTCACAGGATGGGGGGTGAGCACAAGGAGGAATGCAGAGCCCCTCGCCAGGTGACCGTCCCCGCGGGAGCCCTCTGCCATGGCGGTGCCACCCGCACTGGCCGCAGCTCGCCAGAGGCAAGGCAAACGCCGTGGGCAGGGCAAGGAGCTTGTTGCCTTATGCCACCCCCACAGCATTTTGCAGGGGACCCCATCGCAAGAGGAGCAGAAGGAAGGACACAATTAATTAGAGGAGACACGGTGCCCGGAGGCAGGGGAGCCGAAGGAATTGGGAACTCCCAGCTCACGCCTCCACCTCCGAAGCCGGCGGTGACCTTTAGCTGGTGGCTCGGCCACCGCCGAAAATCATTGTAAATGAAAATCTGCCTTCAAAAACAGATGAGAGGGAAAAACCTGCGCCGTGGAGGAAGTGTCAGAAGGCCTCTGACCAAGCGGCCCTCTCCCGCCCATCCATTCGCCGGCTTCGGCATTTATTAGCTTTTCCACTTAACTGAATCGGTCGCAGGGGAAAGGGCAGCATCCCGAGGAGGCGGTTGCTCTTCGAGGAGCAGATGAGAGCAATTGGATCTCCATTTTAGGGCTGTCTCCCTGCTGAATGTTGGCTCCTGGTTTCCACCAGCCTGAGCTGACGGGCCAGGGAAAGCGGTGCAAGGGCCAGCTGGGGAGGGCCACGCGATGCGGGGAGATGCTCAGGGAGCACCCACACCCCTTGTAGCCAGCTGGGCTGCCTATGGCGCCTCTCTGTTTGCGGGAAAAGGCATTTGATTGAGGCGAGCAAGTCATTTTGGGGAGCTGCTGCATCCCAGGTGCCACACCACCCCCAGCCAGCGTCCCTCGGGATGGTCAGTTGCACATGGGGTGCAGCAGGGGCAGGCACATAACCCCTCATCTTCAGGGTTTCCCCCCACGGCTGTCTCTGGGATAGACCTTCTCCTTCACCCCAGCCGCTGAGGGCAGCCCCGGTGTCGGCAAAGAGATGTGACCACTTTCACGGGAGCTTTTGGGATGCAGTCAGGGGAGCATCGCTGCCTGGTCTGCAGCAAAACCAATTTTCTTCACTCCTGTTATTTTGACTTTAACTGCAAGTTCTCCAGGGTGAGAACACCCCCCAAAGGCTAAGCCCTGTGTTGGCGGAGAGGGAAGCACTGCAAACCCCTCCTTGGGGTTACGGGGAGGACAGCAAATTTTGCTGGGTGTGAAGCCGTGCCCTGCCAGGGATGCTGCTTCCTGAGGATGCTCTCCGAGACCCGGGCAGATACTGCTGCCTGGAAAAGCTCCTGCCCTTCTCCCTTCCCTCTGCCAGCAGCCTGCCCGGGGGGGGCACAGCCATCCTCGGCAATCCCGTCCCACGTAGGGAGACTTCTTGGCTTCCAGCTTATCCCAGCGGTTCTTTGTCCCCATGCCATCCACTGGGCACAGGCTGGACACAACGGTTTTACGGGATAGAAAAAAAAAACCTACCCAGTGTCTTGCCATCAGTTTTCTGGGGATCTTCACCTCGGGGAAAGGACAAGCAGGAATACGGTGTTTGCACCTTTCCAGGATGACAGCTTTGTCCCGAGGTATCTCCGAGGTTGCTCCAGAAGAACTCAAACCCTCCAGGAGTGCACACAGGCTTTCTGATTCCTGGCAAATTAGCTGTCTGGTTTGACCAGAACCTATTTTTTATCCTAAATTTATACAAGGGGAGGCTGAGAGAGCAGAGCTAGCACAGCCTGCAGAAGAAAAGGCGAAGGAGCTGAGGTGGCTGGCTCCAGCTGCCCAAAGGAGTTTGGGTGCCCCGAGCCCTCCCACAATGGACGGCAGCAAAAACATCCCTCGCTTCTTTTAACAGCGGGTTACAGGGCGGCATGAAGCAATGGAAGGAAAGCAAAGCGGAGCTAATTGGGCCATCCCAAGGGGCTTTCCCCCCGCAATTGCTGGAATAACAAATGCCACTTCTGGCACGTCAGCTTTGGATTTCAGGAAGGACAGGAAAAAGCCTCCTTAGGAATCCAGCTGCTGCTCGTTTGGCCGCCCTCTGAATTGTCAGCGGCAAATTACGTTCTATTAAATCAAATTTGCCTCTGTCTAAAAATAGCTCCCCTACTAGTGTTACAAATAACACCGGGTTGCCCTGCCTGAAAGCGCTTACTGGGACGCAGCCCCTCTCCCCCTCCTCGCTCCGTGCCCCCCAGCCGCGCGCGTGGGCTTTGCTGCTCTGCCGGCACTGGTGGCATGCCGTGACTCAAGGCGGCTGAAGTGGCCGGGGGAGGATGAGAGGAGGGAGCCGGGAGGGCTCCGAGCGCCTCGGGCTGGGGGAGGGGTGATGAAGGAGGTGCCGCGGGGAGCATCGCTGGGTGCGGGCAGAGGTGCAGCTCGGTGGGAGCCAGGGCCCGGCCATGTAGGGCCTGAAATGCTCACGTCAACAAGGGAGATGCCAGGCTGAAGCTGGCGATGGGCCAGTCCCCGGCCGGCGAGCGGGGCCCGGGCAGGCGGCGGCAAGGGCCGAGCCACAGGAGACGGGCACGGATCAGTATCCACAAGAAAGTGCTGCCCACGGGCACCCCCAGTGTGTGGGCCTGGGGGGGCTCCCGGGAGCAGCGATGGGAGGGCAGAGCGGCTTTGTTTCCAACCAGCCACCCCCGGCCATGAGCCTCCCAGCCATCCCCCGGCCACCCGAGGATGGAGGACCCGGCTCCTGGGCTGCTCTCCGGGCATGCAGCACGGTGCCATGGGAGAGTTTGCTCCTCCAGCACCCGCCTGCCCTCGCTGGGACCGGCACTAGCGATGGAGACCTAATTCTGCCCAAGCTGGGGCAGAAAAAACGCGGGTGGTGGGACGGCAGCAGATGAGCTGCTGCTCTTGCAGAGCCTCCAACTTTTGACCCGCTCCGCAGGGGCATGCGGACGGGCTGCAAGGGCATGATTTCTGCTTCAGATGCCCTTTGGGAAGGAAAAACATTGGCTCCTCGAGCTTCGGGAGACAGCATGAGGAGGGAAAGCTCCTGCTGTGCATACACACACGTGCATGGGCAGAGGCTGCGGCTTTCCGACGGCAGCGGGGTACGGCACGGCTGGGCCAAAGACGGGCTCTTCCCTGCATCCCTGCCCAGGTCCCATGGAAGCCACAGTCACTTGCAACGTCTTCCCCCATGGGTAGAATCGCGGTGGGTCCCTGCAGGAATGGTGTTTTCCAGCCCGCCCGCCCCATCTTTCGGAAAGAGCAGCCTATTTTTGTGTCGGGCTGGGGAGAGGCCCCTGAGGCGGTGGGTGGAGTGTAAATCCCTCCTGTCCCACTGCAGCAAACAAACCCCAACCAAGTCACGCTCAAACTATTTTCTGTGGTGACAGGAGAAGGCACTTTTCTGCATTTCACCAGCCTGAGAGGACACTCGGGATCTGCTTTTTCCCTTCTCCCTGCCTGTTGCTCTCTACATATTCCCCCGGCCCTTCGCCCACCCACCCACACAGAGCCAGACACGCTGGCCAGGTATCTTGCACCAACTTTGCCATGGGTGCCGAGCACCCTTGCGGCACCAGAGCAATAAAAGGTGCTGGCAGGGGCGCCTGGAGCACCCGGGCAGGCAGCTGCCCGTCAGCCCACGTCCACTGGCCCTGAGCAACTCTCATGGCAGGAGAGTTCCCTTCCCTTCCCACCTGCTTTTCCGTGCGTTGTGCCGGCTGCCCGCTGCCCTGCCTTCCAGCACACACAGAGGGATGCTCGACCCCAAACCCCGTGTGCGCACACATCTGCCGGGAGCACCTTGCCAGGCCTCCGTGCCCGCTCCCAGCTGCAGGGCATCCTTCCCCGGCAGCTTTTAAGCAAGCGTTTTGCTAAGAGATGCTCCTCGCTCCCTGACTGCTGTGTTAGAGGAGCGGCGAAGCCGAGGGGAAGAGGCATCTGCCACCACTGTGCCCAGTGGCTGCTCTGTCCTGCACAGCCGGGCAGTGACATGGGAAGGGGAGGGTGACTGTGGCCGACCCTCTGGCCCCAGGATGGGGCTGTGGACGTACGGATTCCCAACCAGGAGCTGGGAGAGCTGGGCTTAGCCCAGCTGTGTGGGGACAGCGGGGACGCAGCACAGCCCCCCTGGAGCTCACCACCCCCCCCCCGACGTCAGCCTGCCAGGGCCAGGGCAGCTCAGCTCACACCCTGGGGACGCCAACAACGTCCCGACATACTACTGTTGCCTTTTTAGAGAATAATTTTGCTGAGTTCAGAGCGGGCTGGATCCAAGCTAGGATGCCTTTGAGCAAGACCCGTCCCCTTGCCACCTCCCCTGCTGGTCCCAGCCACACCAGAGCTTGTCTGGCAGAAAAACCCCTTCCCATGCCAGATGGGGAGGCAGTCAGTGACTGGTCCCACAGCCCGGGGGGCTGGGATCCTTCCTGGGATCCTTGCCGGGGCTCCCGGCTCCATCACCTCACACCTAGAAACATAGGGCCTTCCCGCTGCCGGCACAGGGAATCCTGCGGCAGCGAGTCCCACAGGTTAACCGCACCTTGTGTGGGACAACGCTTCTTTCCAGTAGCTTTGAAATACATTCTTCTCCCCTTTCAATCCCCTGAAACAACCTGAAGAACAAGTTGCAGACAGCCTCTCTCCGCCAGCCTGGTGTACCGAACACCTCCTCGGTCCTCCTGCCCTCCAAAGCAAAGGGCCCCAGCAATTTTTACTTAACAAGAAAGACACTAACGAGCTTTTCCGGCCTGGTAATGCTGGGGAATGGCTGACTCGGGCTGTTTCTCTGCCCGTGGAAAGGCTGTGCGGTTTTAG